CCGTTCCACAAATAAACTGTGAAAAACACAAATGTGAAAAAATCCAGACCTATTTACTATGTAATTCTGGTACAAGTGAAAGACAAGGAGTAGAAAAACGAGAGCAGACAATTATAGGGTGCTAGTGATCTCATCTAAAACACAGAAAATGTTTCCAAACCTTAAATTTGTTGTATTACCTATTTTTCTTGTTGGGCTGTAAAATAACATTTAAAGCTTTGCTGAAATTTCCTAAAGCATCGTGTTGTTTAAGTGGCACTTACTTGACTCTCCAGCCTGCTCAATGCTCCAGCAGAGTTTCGTGTTGGCCGCCCCATCCTCAGCATCCTGCCTGCTGGAACATTACTCACAACAGAAGCACAGAATCTGGATCAAGAAAGCGCATGTGGGACCTAGGCATGGAAAAAATAAGTACGTATAGTGTTGCAATAGAGTTCTGAGTGGCTCTCAGCTCATTTATTAAGAGCATTCAAAGCAGGAAGTTGCTGAAATTTCACAAGTAACTTTTGCAAGTCTCCTTTAAATCTTCTAAATGACTGGAAAACACAAGACACAGACTTTTTAAAAGGATCATTTCTATCTAGAGAATAGAGATCCATCTTTAAATGCTGTAATATAAGGCAGGTTCCCCCTGGAAAATTATGTTGTTATCAAAAGATAAATTTTTATGACTTTGATAACAATCAGAAGAGAGGTTGTAGTCATGTAATTATTATTAATAAGTCATTAACATCAACATAAATCTATTTTTTATAAAGGGGTGGAAGAGTTACTACAACACAACATGATAATTGCTTTTAAAAGCTTTTATATAGCCACAGTACAGTCCAACTATGTGATTTAATTTCTGTTCTCCCCTATTTTATAATATAAATTAGAAGAGAATAAATGAGGCAAACCATATGGAACCAAGGCCAGGTCAGCAGCAATCCACTATACCACCTCCATTTAAAGTGTTTTCATAGTAAGGATCACGGCAGCTGCCTAACCAGCTCATCCCACTTTTTATTACCTCTTTACAGATGACATAATAAAGATTAATTGGAATGTTTCTCTTCTCTTTTAGAAACTTTTTTTTTTTTTACTAGATTAACTTTCAAATCTTGCAAGTGTTGGAGAAACAAACAGATTTTTGTTCAAACAACTGGGTTTGTATTCATAGCAAGGCCTTGAAGACAAACAGAAGAAAATTATGAAGACATGTTGACAGAACAGTTTATTTGGACATAAATATTAGTATTATTTTTAAAAGGCATCACAATATAAATTGCAAGAAAATAAGTTTGTGAAGGAGGCTTCCTACAGAAGCTATGGAAGCTCCATTCTCAGAGGTACTAAAAAATCAACTAAGCCCAGAGCAACCTGCTCTAATGTTGAAGTTAGTCCTGCTTTAGGTGGGAGGCTGGAAGAGGTGTCCTGTAGATGCCTCTTCCAATGTAAAATATTCAGTGAAATTAGGCCTTGAAATAAAAAATGTGATGGAGGGGGGAGGCAGAAATATGCACACATGCACAGATGTGTGATTACATAAGCATTATTTTCTTAGAAAATTAAATTAAACACTGATAATTTCAAAGATACAGGCTGGGAACACAGTCCTAGTTCTATATATGTAAAGGGGCTATTACCTACGGTTTTGTTAGGGTTTTCTGCAGCTGGGTCTCAAACAATAAGACTCAGTTTCAGTTGCTTTTAGTTTGGTCAAGCTGAAATTTTTAGAGCTGAAATTTCCTTCACAGAATTACTTTCTCAGGCTAGTGATTTTCGTTTAAGTTCCATCAAGAGTAGTTCAGTCATTTCCAAAACAAATTAGCAGAAATATGCATTTCTTTTATATAAATAAAATGTTTACAACCATTTAATTAAAGCTGTGCTTTTTAGTAATGTGTTCAAATTTGGCAGCCTAGAAAACCTGCACAAATTTGGCCAAGACATGAGTGGCTCTGTTCATATAATTGCGGAAGAGATTTGTTGGCACTGTGTAGTTGGTCTCCAGCAGTCTCTTCACAATGAACATACTCCATCTCAGAGCTTCAGGGGCAAACAGAACTCCGTATAAAAAACAAGGCTTCCTGCAGGAACAGCATGGTGAAGGCTGAGGAACAGAAATTAGTGATGCTGCTGGTACACAGCAGTAGAATTCGAGTACATTATTGAATGGAGAGCACAGCAAAGAATTAAGACAGGGTGGAGGTGAAAGGAAGGAGGAAAGTCTAGGTGTAGCAGAAGTGGGAAGATTTATGAACACTAAAGCATATTCTTCTTGAGAACTTGAAACTCAATCCCATTCTCACTGTCTTCCCATGAATTCATAATTTTAAAAAGGTATTAAATCTTTAATCACAGCATGATGTAATGATTTCCTTTTTCTCTCACAGCATTTAGGAACAAAATGGATTCTGTTCACCAAGTGGACCAAGCTCCTGAAAAAATCCCTGTATAAATGTTCTTATTTGAAAAAGGAAGATGCATAGAAAAGGGGGCAGAAGATCACAGAAAGAAAAGGGTATGGCCAATGACAAAGGCAGCTGAATGCAGCCCTGAGGAAGAGTCGTGTCTCTGCCTTCATCTCACCATCTCCCTGTGATTTGGGCAAGTTTCTTAACCCAGATTTTTCACAAGTGACAATCATTTTCTGAGTTGCATCCTAAAAGAAATCTTGATTTTAAGTTGCCTTGTATATCTGCCCCTAGGATGAAATGCTTCCTGCTCCCCAAACATATATTTCTAGTTGTTATAGTCAGTGAGCTCAAATGCAGTCAGCTAGCTACAGGTTTCTCCAGTGCAGATGCTACTGTTTGAAGAAATGGGTGCCCTCCACAGGGCTTGGTTCAAAAAAGCATTGAGTTCTCACAGCTGTCTGTGAGACAGTTTGTTCTGGGTGCTATATGTGAAAACAGACAATCCTAGGGAATGCTAAACAGTCTTTTCAAAAGAATATCTATCTCCAGGTATCACATACTGGACCCAAAATCATTAGGTTCTTCTAATAATTTTCCATTTGTAAAGTAAAATTACCATTTTCTTATCCTTCAGGACTTTTGAGGAAAATGAACTGATTCATGATCAAAAGTAATTGGATACTATACTGATACGTGTCATAAGGGAGGTAAAAAAAAATAATTTAATTATTCTGGATTTACAACATGGTGCAAGGAATGTACAGCAAATCAGACACAGGGCCATATGAAAGAATACATGAAATACAGAATATCTGCTTTTCCTGGTTTTCCTGGGTTTTATTTATACATTTTATAAATATATACATATATATTTTAGACGGTGTAAAATCACATTTCTTGTGCCCATGTAACTATTTACTATAAGATACAGTGTAACTAAGGCTGTAATTTTTTTATTATTATTAACTAGAAATATTTAAAATTAGATGAAATGAGGGAAAGAAAGCTGTAAGCAGTGAACATGTAAATCCCAATCTGATGACTTTTGCCATCACCATCATCCAGTGTTGCTCATCGCAGAGCATGTTGACACCCAGGCTGAGAACGGGGACCAGTGCAATCCCAAGTGGGCTTCCAGTGCCACCCTCCTTCCCGTCCCTCTCTGCTGCCCAGTGGTGATTTACGGCTGCATGTGGCCACCCTGAGTACAACAGATCGTGTTAACTGTAGTATCAGAAGTAATCTAGCCTCAGGAATGTGAAACGCTATTTGATCTATTTACCCTGCCAAGAAGCAGCACAAAGGAAAACTCCACCTAGCAACCACACCGTTACGGATGTACACTAGCTGGGAAACAAACATACTTTCTGGTTGTCTGCCACACGCTACAATAGATGAGCCTGCAAGTTGTTGTGACTCCCATTCCCGTGTTCTTAAAAGCACACTACATATACTCACTTTTAACAGGTGTGCAGTCTATTATTTTAATAACATTCAAACTGAGGCTAATACGACATTCAAAGTGAGGCTATGTGACTCAAGAGAGAGCCAATATAGCTTATACAGATATAATTAGTGCTTGATACCTTTTACATGCAGGTTGGTGGCAATAACGAGCTGCAGCTTTCAGATATCAATTGCAGAGGTTTCCATGTTCCTGCACTACCTCTCCTTAGTCCTGGAAGGGCAGGTAAGGTTCCCACTTCCCCTTGCGGGAAGACAAACAGTGACACTTTGTCACATGCCGGAGATACACACAGGCACCATGGGTACAAGTGCCATAATTCTTAATTAGCCAATGTTTAATTTTCCCTCGTCTTGGCTACAGAATTTAGATTATGTTAATAATGTTAATTTCTTAACAACGTATCAACAGTTAATACGATATTTAAGGTATGTGGAGTAAAACCTTGTCGGCGTTGTTATTCCATTATGTAAAATGGGTTTTCTACTGCGTGAGTTGTTCATAAAATCACCAGCTCAACAACAGCATCATCATATTTTTTTATCTGCACAAACAGGATCCGTGGCAGACGGTGACCTGACATCGCCAGTGAACTCTAGTCCTTTCTCCAGCAGAGACAATAAAGTTCTCCGCACTGCTCTTATTTATAGCTTAAACTCGAGGGAAGAAAATTACGAAGCACTTGACTTTCACAGCCTTCTGGCAGGGATCACAGCCAGGGAAAGGTGCAGTGGGAGCCATTTTTGGCTAGCAGTTTACAATATGGCAAACCCTCTACTCAAGAATAAATTACAGCCAGTAAATTTGCTTCATTTGTTTTTTTATTTACAAAAAGCCATCCTAAAATATTTGATAAATTCTAGTCATATGTGGGCTGGTTTATTCAGCTTTGGTATAAGATTTTTTTTGACTGTCACAGAACGCAACCCTTCTAGTCTACAGGTATTTTTATGAAGCAGGCTTTTAAAAACACTTCCTCACTAGATGAAAAAAACAGCCATTTTTTAGTAAAGAATTTTTAAGCATTGGCACTAGAGTTAATTGATAAACTATTAAACTGTTAAGTTGTAATTTATAGCACCTATAATGGCAACAATGTCTGAGTGATCACCCTATACTGCCATTAAAGACATACCTCATCTCTTAAAGCATGAAATACTGTGAGGTGGTTTGTAATGATGCATATATCTTGCTACCTGCTGATAATAACCTATCAGCAAGGACAACAGTTTAATTATATAGTACGACTCCTGCTGGCTTCCAAATATTTCTGTTGCTCTTTAATTTTTTAGCTAAAAAAGAACCAGTCTCCTTATTTTACACTAGTACATTAATTTATGAATGGAAGACAGAAAGCTTATATTAGCTGCTGAGGTGCCTGAATTCTTTGTGTTGCTGCCATGGTATAAAAATCTAGCCCCAGATGCCCATAACTCTGATAGATGGTGGAGAACAGGTCCCAGACCAGCTAAAGGATGTGGAGGAAATCCTAGACTAGACCCCTCACAGAGATGTGCAGAATATTATCTCGAAGGTGGCACTCAGCCCTGGCCAAGTGAGATCTCCGCTTACAGACACAGATCAGACAGCTTGGCTGAAACATCTTTCTCCTACAGTCCGTCCTTCAGGTTCATTCTGAGTGTGGGATCATAGCACCCACCTTGGGAACGGCACTGGCCCTGCAAGAGCAGAGGAGCAATATTCAGGAAATTTTGAGGTAGGCACCAGCAGCTGAGGTTCAGTGTTTGGCACAGAAGCAGTGAGAAGGTAAATTGATGTGAACTTAATAATATAAAATCAGAACTCCTTTTGTCTGTGAAAGAGTAAGCTGTGTGTCTAGGTACTGGGGACTTCCAACATAGTCCTATCCCTTCGAACTCCTGCTCTAAAAGGAGTTTTGAGCATATATTTCCATGAGGACCTATTAATAGTGCTTTCTACCAGAGTCTGGTCTTTGCAGAGACAAATACATCAGCTTGTTTAGTACGTCAGCATTCATGCCTGGAGTGAACTCCTGTCCTATCAAAGTCAGTAATACGAGAACCAGAAATCTGGATTGAATGAGAAGAATATCTTTAAATTTGGGAACTACTTATGAAAAAAAACCTGGATTTTGCTTCATACACATTTATCTGATTAATAAGCAGACAATAATAAATAACCAATAGTAGAGATTCCCCCCCCCCTCCATTTCTGAACATTTACTTTTGAAATACTTTTGAAAATTAGAAACTTTTTAGCATGCAAGCACAGCAAATGGACATGTTTGAGATGTTCTTGCTTTGCCTAACACACTATAATTTGGTGTAGAGAATAGGAATGTATTACAATGAGAAGAACTGGCAGCGCGTTACAGTCCTGTAGTTAAAATAACCTTTAAAGTAACTATCTTCCATTATGAGTTTTTAAGTGCACAGGAAGAGTTTATGAAAGACATGAAAGCAAGGATATTTACTCTCCCAGGTTTTAGCTCCTACTGATGCTGAGGTGATGAAATAGAGAATATAGCAACAAGATCACTGTCGTGTGAAAACAGAGGAATAGAATATGTTAACTAGTTTGTTCCAAAAACAGGCTGGGCTGCTGTGCTTTACTGATCCCTGCAAGCAATAACATTGTGCTGGCCTGCAGAATGGTGATTGCTTTACACCACAAAAAAAAAATGTTGTTTTGGTAGAACAACGTGTCTCACAGAAAGGCTGTTCCAGATTGTCCTTGTCCCTGCTCTGCTGGCTACAGTAAGCTGAGCACAGAAGAGAGAAGCATTTGGTTGACAGACCCGTGCACCTGACATTGGAATGTTTGTGTCAAATATGTTACTGGCCATGGCCTGGAAGAAACTGCAAGCTGAAGTGAGAAGGAACTTTTCACTTCAGAAAATATCTACCATTATGTTATCCATACTACCCAATTACTCCACATTAGTTTGTACCTCTGTTCCCTGTGATCCCTCTCTATTTTCAGTGAGGATCTAGGAAGTCTCAGAGTGGATCTGACCATAATATTATTTTTACCAGAGAATTCAAACATTCTTGAAGACAGCAGGGTATCAAATAATAGTTTAGGCTGGAAAGAACCTTCAAGATCATCAAGTCAAATCGTTAACCCAGCACTGCCAAGTCCACCACTAAAATGTGTCCCTCAGTGCCACATCCACACATCTTTTAAATACCCCCAGGGATGGTGACTCAACCACTTCCCTGGGCAGCCTGTTCCAATGCTTGACAACCCTCTGGAAATCTGCCCTCCAGAATGTCAAAGGTAGCAGTTCTGCTGACGCCCTCCCTACTTCTCCAAGAATCAAAATCTATCATTTAATGATCGCTGTGCCCAAGACGGCCTCCAACCATCACATCACCCACAGGTCCTTCTTTGTTCACCAACAGCAGCTCCAGCAGGACACCTTCCCTAGTTGGCTCACTCACCAGCGGTATCAGAAAGTTCTCTTCCACACACCCCAGGAACCTCCTGGACTGTTTCCTCTCTGCTGTATTGTATTTCCAGCAGACATCTGGTAAGTTGAAGTCCCCCACGAGGACAAGGGTGAGTGATCGTGAGACTTCTCCCAGCTGCTTATAGAATATTTTGTTTTCCCCTTCATCCTGGTTGGGTGATGTATAACAGACTCCCACCATGATATCTGCCCTCTTGGAATTTCCCCTGATTTTTACCCATAAACACCCAACCCTATCATCACCATCATTGAGCTCTAGATAATCAAAACACTCCCGAGCACACAGGGCTACCCCACTGCCCCTCCTTCCATGTCTATCCTTTCTGAATATCATGTAGACATCTACTGCAACACTCCAGTTGTGCAAGTCATCACACCATGTTTCTTCCCTCATCATTCCCTGCAACTGGAAGGATAGAGTAAAACACAACTTGTGCTGCTGATCCCTTAACCATCATCCCACGGCCCTGAAGTCTCTTGTAAGTGCCCTTGGACTTCTTGTGGCAACTTCATCACTGCCTACCTGAAAAATCAATAATGGCTAATAATCTGAGGGTACCAGGGTAGGGAGTTTTCTCTTCAAATTTTTAACCCAGACCCCAGGGAGGCAGTAGAATTCCCTAAGTGAGTCCAGTTGGCATATTGGGTATTCTGTTCCCTTCAGAAGGGAGTCTTCTATGACAATGGTCTGTCTTTTTCTCTTTTGGAAGTAGTTTTGATGCAGGGCATAAGCCAACTGAACCTCGTTGTCACCTACCTCCATGCTAGATGAACCATTGCCCTTGTTATTGTTTGGCTCCACTTGCAGAGCCTCATACCTAGTAAGCAAGGGCGCCTGGGAAGATGGGGTAGTCGTGGAGGAGATGTGCCTTCTGCACTGGGCAGGAACTTGTGACCATTGCCTCCAAATCCCTTATGGCCTCCCTGGTCGAGCTGGCAGAGCTTCAGTGCCCTGCCTGCATGCCTCTGTTGCCCCAACAGCCACACTGCGCCCTCTAAGGGCTGCTTTTATATGGGGCAGGGGAAGGGGACTTGGCCAGCCATTGCTCCTGGCCCCGCCAAGGTCCTCTCAGCTGCAGTGGCGGCTCCCTCGGCGCCCCAGGAGCTTTCCCGGGTTCAGGAAACCAGCCTGGGCACTTCACGGGAGCGCTCTGCCACAGATCCCCCGACACCGGAGCTGCTCACCTCATTATATAACGTTACACTATAAAGAGCGGACAAAGACGACCTCTATTGTTTGAGTTTGCAGAGCTAAAATTATTGTGACAGGTTATAAACTCACGCTACATGTCCTTAGAGTTTAGAACAGTCCAGTAGACTCCCAAAGAATGAATCTGATACCTCTATTGATATGTAAAGATCATCTGTTTATACTAAGTTGATCTATCATTATCTCCTTCCAAGATAAAATAAATAAAGGTAATATCTTTCCATTTATCTAGTACATATCAAATAAACTGGTAGCTGTAAACAAAAATAAACACATTCATAACAGGCAAAGGAAGTGCTGTGTTATTGATTATTTGGAAAATATAGCAAAACATATTGTGCTAATTATACTCATGTTTGCTACCAGCTAATACCACCCTATTATACTGCTATCGGCCGCAGTATCTCTGTGTCACTGTTTTCAGTAGGATTCCACTTGACTGCAGATTTTCTGTTCCCTGCCTGCATTTAATGCTCTTTCAAGTGTATACACTAAGACCGTAAATAACTTTTCTCCCAGATTCTTAGCTCTGTCCTTGCTATGTTAACTAGATTCACAGCAGTGTCTTCATTTTCTCCTCATTTTTGCTGTGTGAATTTGTTAGAAAACAATGACAAATTATCACTGGCTAGCACCCATTCTTTGTACTTGCTAACGTCTCTCACACAGCAGAAAGGGAGAAACAGGTGTCAGATACAAGGTTAAATACAATACTTAGTCTGTCTTTTATATTATAACAAATCTTATGAGCCAATTTGGAAAAAAAAAACAAACAATATTAAATAATTGGAAGCTAAGCAGTAAGAGTTCCCTCATCTTTTTAATTAATTAAGATAGAAATAAAAAGAAAGACAGAAAGAAAAACAAGGGATGATAAAAGTTGTAAAATACTCACAAGTCTTGGAAAAGCTGTGCAGCAAGTTGACACAGAAGTTAGGATAAAGTCTGCGCTAGTGACAGCAGCAAATGCTCCACCCCCTTCTCCATTCTGTTTTACTTTCAGTTGTTAGATATTAATATAGGACTATGTTTGTACCTAATACGATGTGGAAATTATTCTCACCACAAATAGTATATAGTAGGGATTTCCTGCTGCCTTTATTGAGCAATTTTCCAACTTGGAAAAAACCTAGAAAAAACATGGGGCAAGACATACGTCTGCAATTTAGAAGTCAGGCAAGTGACTGACAAACACAAAAGGCAGCTGCTTGCTGTCCCAAGCAGTGGCATTTGTGCATGCTACCTCTTTTTCTTCTGCAAAGGGAAGAAAACACACAGTTTGTGCCTTTGTCTCTGCATAGCCTCTTCCCCCTTTGTAGCTTAAGTGTATCATCCCAGCCAGAGCACCGAAGAATTGCTAATCTTGGAAGCAAACCCTGTAGCTTTATGCTGTAATTCCTCTTTTTCTCTGCAGCCTCAACCCCAGCGTTTTACTGGAGTGGCCACCACAGGAGTGAAAGAGAAGTCACCTCTCAAGACAACACCAAAAAAGAAGAGCATGGCTATGGAAGAAGGTTGACAGGAGAGAAAAGAGCTTCTCCAAAAGGTACAACATCTGGCTTGCCGTGGGATGACAGCACAAAGAGGTGTCATAGGCCCAGGTGACATCAGAAGAGGATCATTATAAAGGAGCTGAAAAAATACTCTGCAAATTTCAGTGAATTCAAAAGTTGTGGATGTTAGCTGTTAAGAAAAGTGGGGGTTTAGTGCCTATGATAATCACAGGACATGACAGCTGTAATCCTAAAGTACTGCTTAGACACATCATGATGAAAAACCTTTCTACCTTGAGCTAAACTTTAATGTCCTGAAGATGAGGCTCAGGAGCTCCCCAGGAGTACTCTCAGGTTTCCAGGAGCCATCACTTACCTATATAAGGGTCACGCACTCCAGAGGCAACAGTGAAAATGGTACCTCCTCTCTGTGCAATCTTCTTTTTGGCCTCTTGTGCATTATTCTGGGTGCTGGTTGTTATTCTGTGCATGCCACACTCTGTGAGGTAGTAAAAATATTCTGCAGCTAAACGAGAGGGTTTTAGAAATGGCTCTGTCTCCTTGCTGAAGAAAAGATGAGCTTCTAGAGTTTCCTTCCTGTTTCTCAGTGAAATAACATTTTTTCAGGAACACTATTTATAAAACCTGGTGAACAAAACCAGTTAGTTCCCTGTGCTGGGATATTCTATTACAGCCAGATTTAGCAAATCTACTTAAGGACCTTAAAGACTACTGTATCTTGAACATCTGTCATATGAGAAACAAGGACTGGAACTGAGTGTTTGCAGCAAGTAGTTCTAGATGGCTGCATGATGAATTCATTAGATGAGGCAGCTTGCTGCCATTTCTCAGCACTCCTGTGCGCTACGTCCTGTGGTCCAACGCTTGGCTCCAGCATTTGTTCTGCAGAGGAGGCAACCAAGTGAAACACAGTCACTTGGTTAGCTCCTGTACAGGGTCTGGTTTGCAGCCACTATCACTGCAAAGAACCTTCCAGCAATTTAACACAAGACAAAAAAGCAGAACTCACTACTTCATGCTCTCCAGGGGCTCTTGGCTGTTTCAGATGACAGTGTATCTGTGTCTGCAGAAAAACAGCTACTCACTTTCCTTCTACTCTGTCTCAGTATGGAGTGTTAATACCACTTTATAAGCAGTTGTACAGATACAGGAGATGAAATCAGCCTCAACTGGCAGCTGTTAGAAACCTGTGCAGGATTCGAAAGAGAAAATAAAAGTACAGACCTGGCTGGAATTCTTGCCGTGACAGAGTACAAAAATGCAAATGAAAAGGAGGTACCAGCATTGGAGGAAAAAACACCAGCCTAGATAAATATCTAAACCAAAGAAACATAGTTATTTATTAACTGTCTTGTGGCAAGGGCACTTCTAAGACAGAAGTAGTCACAAACACCTCTGTTTCTTCAGTTTACGCCAGCTCAAAGAATGAGAGTAAATGATTTCAAGTATACCTGTGAATGCATGTATTTGGACTTGGGATATCCCAAAGTCTCATATTTTTCACTGTTTAAAACTGAAAGAAAAGAACTTGTTTTCCAATTGGTTTTGCTTTTTGATGTGATGTCTTTGCTATACTGTAATTCATCAGAATTTTCTCAACTAGGAAAAAAGCAAACATCCAAAAACAAGCACACAAAGCTTTAGGTATTCATGAACTATATTTTGTGGGAAAAGGGAAAGGATCACTCATTAAATTTGTTTTAAAAACACTTTCCAAACAGTTTCCTTTGAACACTGTGAAACGCCAACACTGTTTATAAGGTGGATTTTTTTTTTTTTAACTACCTCTCTGGGTTTATTCTTTTTTTAAGAACTATGTTTTTCTGGCATTTCTGAAGTTAAAATATATCAGTTTCTATTTTAATATAGAAACTGTTTCTAAACAGTTGTATACAGTAGTTGCATACAAAAATAATGTGTCAGTATGTATTGCATTACAATAGGGTGACAACAGCACCTGCACTCCCTCAAAATTTAATTCTCATTCATTTTCTTAATCACACAAAAATGTGCTTCCTAATTACACAAGGGATATTTTATAGTCACCTAAACACTACTAGCCACATCAAGGTGTTTATTTATAGCATAAATTATTCTCATACCCTTACAAGCAAAAAAAAACCCTTTCTAATTTATGCAGGTTTCATTTATAGTGGACACAGGCTATTTGGCAAGATATTGGCAATTACTCTCACTAATGAGCTACTGAATTGTAATTTAGTATTATAAGTGCAGTGACAAAGAATGTGAATAACTTACATCATGCAAACAGTAAAGTGAAAACAGATGCATGAATGTGATTTTCAAAATAAAACAGGATAAGTGAAAATTCAAACATGACCGTCCTGATTTGAAGCAACATTGCCCAAACGTTTGGTGCAGCTGCACAACAGTCAACAACAAGTTTGGGTTTGCTGTGCTCTTAAAAGATTGCCTGTATTCTCATGAAATTGATTCCTTAGGAAGTGGTGTTAGTTCTGTTACTGAACACCGGGAGAGAAAGTATTGCTACAGTAGTGAGAGTGAAGAAGTGGGAGGGAAGAAGGCAATGGAATGTAGGTGGTTAGACAGAAATGCGATATTTTCTGAAGGTAGTCTGGAAAAAAATGGCAGTTGTTGCAGAGCCAGATCCCTTCAGGATGGTCTCCAGCTGACCCAGCTCAGAGCCAGCTTTCTTGGCTAAATTTCTGAATGCTACTGCACTATGCTTTTCTCACCTACTGTCTCATTGTCAATTCTTTCAACAAAAACATCTCAAAATGGAGGCCTTCTCTGATAAGACATGAGCTCTCGTAAGACATGATGCTCTGATAAGCATAATGATTTTTTTTTTTTTTAATGAATTCCACAATTTTTAGAAAACTTGAACTCAAATTTACAGGCAGATGCAGAGGACAGCAATTTCAATTTGAATAGTGTCTATTTCTGAGTGGGTTTTTTTTTTATTATAGCATTCCTGCTGTGATTGAATTTTTGCTGCAGGGCTAAAGTACTTACTACACCCTCAATTATCAAACTCATGAATTTGTGGGTAGGAAAATGAAAGAACTGTTGTTTTCTTCCTCTAGGTGTCAGAGTGTATATAAAGAGCCGATAAGCAGGTACAGCTTTGACTCCCCCCCACTGCCAGTGTGGCAGCCAGAGGAGCTAACTCAGCCTTCTGCCTCTGAGGAGTCACATCCCAGTCATCCCACCAGCATTCACCATTACTGCATGTTGTTTCAGCTAAGGTGAACCTTGATTCTAGCAATAGTGGCCAGCAGCAGAGCGCCTCACTCCTGAGCACCAGGGGACAGAACGGAATTTGTCTGATGAGGGACTTCTGTAAATATGTCTTTGATATATGCTAGGAAGGTGTATTTCTGGAAATTGTAGACTTAAAATCATACACATAACTGAATTTAGGAGCTGTCCTGCACCAGTGCTATGACAACACAAAGCCCAATATTCACGTCTGAAATAATTTTACGGCGGAGTTATTGCTGTAATACAACATGCAATATACAAAACATGTTCCTAGGTGAGAACGTGTGCCTTCTGAAAATCTAGGCAACTTTTGCTTCATGGCTGATATAAGACTATAGATAATCTGTCTCTTTATTTTTTCATACTAAATTATAATGTGCCCTAAATCATAGACTCTTTAGGTTATTAAAAACTTCCGGCATTTCAAAAATGCTATTTAATTTCTAGAAACATCTGGAGAGACATTAATATTCTGCCTCTCAGAAGCATGTACAGTATTTCTAGCATGTTGTAATTTATCAGCCATGGCCACTAAGCATGGGCTATTCCTATTTAATGAGATAGTGTTTCCAAGAAAAACCGTATCAATTGCAAAATCAGCAAAAGCAAAACAAAGGGAAAGGCATTTATTCCTTAAAATAAGTAGGAGTATGTTTCTCAATCTGTGAAAAAAACTAATGCAGAGAAATGTGCAGTTGGAGTCACAGTTGGAGTCATGTCAGAAACCTGTAAGTCTGTTTTGTTTAGTGCCTTGTGAACAAGCACAATCCTATTTAGACAAAATATTTGTGGTATTGCAGTCTGAAAGTTTTCCTAGAAGAGCTGCTCCTTAAATTACATGATAGGGAAAATCCTACAATCAAAATAAAATAAACGTGAATACAAAGGCTGGTTAACATCCCAAAAGGCATGTCTTCACTACAGCAGTTGTCTTCAGTTATATTTATTTCTCTCTGTGTTAATCAATCCTGAGTGGAGTGGCCAGACCACAAAACTCTTGCAGTCCACGCTGTCTCAGTGGCCTCTGATGTAGAGAGTTACATGTCAAATCCACAGGCCTGTCAGTGAATCTAATCCTTATTTAAGTTCCCAGTTAGTTCCTATAAGAATAATTCTCTACTCAAATGCTTTATTGAAGTTAGGTGCTGTGCCACTTGATTTTAGATGGCTGAGCACTTTCTGAACTGGGAAGCTGAAGCCTAGTGCTGTGCCTTGGGAATCAGGCACATTTAGCTGTTAGGTTTCGTGGGCTGAACAGAGCTCTGTCTAAATTAGCCAATTAACAAGGCTGGCAAAAGCTTTTCAAAGGTTTAAGTGTCCTTGGCTTCACAGGCCATGCCTCCAACCAGGATCCATAGCTCAGGAACGCCCCTGAAAGCAGAGCCTTTCTTCAGTTTAAAGCACAACATCCAAAACATGTGTCAGTCAAATATTATTTTTTTCACTAGGCAAGCATTCTGTAAGTGTTCCTCAACAGAAATTCCAAAACAGTGAACTGAAGAATCAAAATGTTATATATGTTTGTTATGTTATGTTATGTTATGTTATGTTATGTTATGTTATGTTATGTTATGTTATGTTATGTTATGTTATGTTATGTTATGTTTTTATAATAATGAAACTGAAACACTTGGGAGAGGGTGGGGTGGATTCTTCTCCTCAAAGCTATTCGTCAAAACAATTTATCAAGATCTCTCAGTCTTAGTCCATGTAGATACCCTCTCTGAGGTTAACAGCCTGCTTTGGGGCTCACTTTGTAGTTGGACCTTTCAGGAATGCAGGAGAATTAGATCCTAACCCATACGACAATGCAAGTAAGTCCTACTAAAAAGAAATAACACTCAAAAGAAAGGACTGAAAGAGGGAAGAATGCAACTGAGTAATGATGTGCATTCCATCAAGATTATTTCCTCTTTTTTCTCTCTATAACTAAAATACAATAACCATGACATATGTACCATATTTCTCATTTGATAATGCTGGTTTATAGTTTCATTATACTGTAATACAGCTGGTCTCTTTAATGCTCAGAGCTTTTATAACGAAGGTAGAAATCACTCAGTGGAAAGTAATTTCTGTATAAATAGAGAAAACAAGATATTTAGTTACCACATGGACAGAATGTATCTAAACACTTGAAATCCAAAAGATTCTGCACAACATACTGTATTTAGCCAAGAGGAAGGAAAGGGCTTTCTCCAAGTAGGTTAAACCAGGACTCATACCAAAGTCAAGGTTCTCTTTAGTTTTGCCACAGGTTACTAGGGCATTTAAGGAGCCTTTTCATATATTGTGTGCAATTATTATTGCACACTTGTGCAATATTAAACTCCCACATCACCCCACAGGGAAAAGAGAAGGTCCCCCCTTCATATGAGGGGACTATTTGCTGAGTGAAAATTTCAGTGTTTCCTAGTATTGTCATATCTAGCTACCCCTGATTTATGACTTGCAGTTCTTGTTCCTATTCAAGAGGACTCGCAATCTGCTCAAGATTGCTCAAAATAGAAGAAGACCAAAGGCTGACTTCTGGGCCATGTCCTAGCACGGGGCGTAAAGCAGCAGCAGCCATTTAAATTGCCTCTGCAACGATGTCCAAACTGGGGACACTGACAATAAGCCAAAAGCTTTTGTCAGTATGGTTGGATCAAAGTTTCTGTGCATTAAAATAACAAATGAAAGGTGATCAACAGATTATCATATTCTCTGCACAGCTGGAAATGTGGGAGGAAAAAAAAGCAGCTTTTTATAAAAAAAAAAATAATATTGAAGAGATGAGACTCAAACCACCCATTGTTGATAACTTTGCCTATGTTTATTTGCTCCAGAAGCTACTTGTACAGTACTTGGTCAAAAGTAGCATGTAAAAGTAGATGCTAATTGAATAGTAGCATCCAGAAATATCTGAAATACCAATAAAAATCATATATAGTGAATTTTAATCAATATATAATAGTAAAGATGTTTTTTCACTGGAACAAAGTTGAGACTTTACTGTGAAGGGGAATTAAAGTCACTGTAGAGGACACTGCAATTAAGAATGTAAGTACTGATATATGGCCATTAGGCTTCAAGTGTGTATTTAGTAAACAAATCAAGCTTAAACTCAGGAAAATACATTGCCTCAAAAATATTTCAGTTTGTGAGAGTGCAACTACACATAGTAATGGTAGTCCATAAATCCTATGTAATGAAGATACTAAGTAATGAGTTTGCAAGGCATGGACAAATAGTCAGTGTAGGCATACAATGGACTTGATGTCACCTGAGAAAGGCTAATAAAATCTCTCCAAAATCTTATACATGGAAAACTGTGACATTTCTTGTTGCTTCCCAGATATCTAAACTACTGGCAACATCTTGTCACTTGCTTTTCTTTTTTTTTTTTTTTTTTTTTTTTTTTTTTTTTTTTTTTTTTTTAATACCACAGAGTTCCTTCTGAAGTGACTCCCACCAAATTTACCAAAGAGCATCTATTTTTTGTGCAGCTCCCAACGTAACTTGTTTCCTGTCTTTAAAATGAATGCTGTGTGGCTTAGGGGAGGGATAGAATGGAGTTCCTGCTGATATTACACTTTCTTGCAAAGCCTTCCATGCATTTATAACCAGTGGAGACTCTGTGATTTTCTAGATTTATGTTATATGCAGCTGGTACTTAAAATTGCATGCTTTACTTGTTTCATTCCTGGGTGACTGTATGAAATCAATTTTAATCTACCTTCACACACATATCAGTAGAACCTTACTCTTAAGAATCTGATAAACACAGTTGTCTTCTGGCACCCCAGAGGACAAAGAGATCCCTTTAATCTTTGGCAAGGAGGAAGGGTTAAGTCTTTGCACTGAAGATATGAAAAAGTGATTTGAAATTTTAATAATGGTGAAAGTTCAGAATACCCTAAACCACAGGTCTCGGAGGCCTTTTTCATTGCCAGTCACCCAATTAGCAATAGCTATGTTCAGCAACTTTTAATAAAATCCTATATACTCTACTTCGGTTGAAATAAGAGTTTCAGCTTAAAATGATGGTTTTTTGCTAATTTGTCTATTTCTCAGAAGCTGGGTGAATATATGAAACTGATGACCTCCTTAAGTCTGTCTAGAGAATGTAAATGGCCACTGTGTGATTGCTGAGGGACAGGTAGTGTAACTTGAGGGTTTAAAAGCACTAGAAGTATTAATATATTTAATCTGATAATTTAAGAATAACTTCTTCCTCACATGAGAATGAGAAGAGCTGGTTTTCTGTGGTCATTCATATTGTGATTTCCATTTCTTTGGGAGTTTCTCTTTACTGCTCTCTGCCCCAGTAGCTGCTGAAGACCTGCTCACATTAGGTAGGAATCTCCACTCTTATAGCACTAGACTGCACCTGTCCTTTTTCCCTTCCAAAGCACAATATCGATTTCATGGTCATGTTGACCCATACTACCCCCTTTGAAGATGAGCACTGCTACCATAAGGAGGCAATTTCACTCTCCGTAAATGTTGGTCAAGAGCAGAAAGTTTCCTGTGCCATGCAAATAGCAATTCAAGAGGTAATGCTGGATATTCATGTAGAGTCTGTCTAAAAGTGTTTGTAAGGATCTGAGATTTTATCAAGGACTCCATTATTTACTTTCTCCCTTTACCATCTCTTCTCCAAATAAGGATATTGGCCCTTTGGATTTAGATGAGTCTTTCATTGGTGATTGTACCTTCTTTTAATATTTTGCTTAAAAATAACGTCACTGATCTTTCTGATGTGTATGGAGTGATCTTCGGTTGTGTGTATAATATATTTTTAGAGTTATCTGTGTTAGATCAAAAAGTGAGTTTTAAAGGTTTTGTGACATTGTTTGGGCTGTCCTTCTGCCCCACAGTGTGAGCGTGTGTACCCAAACCACACCTAGTAGATATTTTATTAAAGTGCTCTTCAAAACCCTCAGGGTGCTGAAGAACTTCCCAGGGATGTGGCATAATATGGTATGCAAGAGGG